AGTTTGTACGAAGTGAAGAGCATTTAGTTATCTGAAGGAAGGTATCTGAAGAGCATTTTCAGACTTTTTACTTGTGCCAATAATCATTGCAGTCTAAATCACTGCGCTACCACTTTGTCTTCTATAAATAAGCTGCCAATATCACTGCTGAGCTTTGGGTTTCCTTCACTGCTAGTACAACGTGAACTTAATGTTTCAATATTGCTTGTTCCTTTGCTGTAAATCAGAGGGAGATCCTTGCAGTGAAGCCATGAGAAACATAATTTAATTTTTGTTAGGATGACAATTTCTAAAAACAAACAAAATTTCTCCCTTCTCTCCCCCATGTCCAATTTCGATTTTTATAATAAAATGGTATTTTATAGACAGTTACATTGGGAAAGTTCTGTTGCTATAGTGTAAGATGGTATGATGGATCAAAGTACCCATCATAACAAATAGGAAAAGCTGCCCAGAAACATAATTTCTCAGTTTGCATGGGCAATCCTGTGAACTTGAATCTTTTGGAGGGGCCCAAGTCTTCCCTGAAAACTTCCTCAACAGAGATAGATTTCTAAGGAGACCACAAACAACCAGCGTTTCTTAACTCTTCTGGTTGCACCAATGAATTCAGTAGGAGATCAGTTTAAAATAGCTTAAAAAATTTCTTTACATAGCATGTCGTGCAGTTCTGGACCTTGCTGCCTTGAGAAGTTGGGTAGGTAGATACTATTGACAGGCTCAGATAGACAAATTCACGGGCAACAAGTCTGGTGACTGAACTGATGCCTGGAAATAGTAAGTCAGTGGAAACGCTGGTTTGTTGTTGAAAAAGAAAGTTGAAAAGCACTGGATAAATTAAGCGGTCTTTTTAGGGGCAAAAAAATGCCATCAGGTTACTTAGTTATTACTTAGTTATCATAAATTGAGGAGTGTAAAAAGGCAATGACTTGATGGCACTTTTGGGAAACCAGTGATACAGGAAGATGTGTACATTTCTGATAGGACACATACCACCTGGTATTCCTCCGTTTGATAAATTTGTTTCGTACGAACACAGCTGCTTTTAATGTTAATCCCACACACATACAAACTGTGGTTTACGTCCCCTCTGTTCATACTTGAAATCCATGAGTACGTTGATCCTGGAGATCTTCATTAAGAATCTTCACTGTGCTGGGTTTTATTTTGTTGTTATTTGACGGAAAAACGTTCACATCTTGTTGAATGCATTGTTCGGTAGCAAGTGCTCCAGTACCAAGAGGGACCCTGCACAAATATAAAAAAAGGATGTTTTTGGCAAAATTAAAAGTAATTGCAGATCCAATGGTAATGCTTGTACGAGAGTAAACATGAATATATAATAATGATTGTGCTTTCAGTAGTGAAGTTAGAGCTTTGTAGAGGCAGGATGCAGTGGATGAGGATGGAGCCAGGCTCTTCTCAGTGGCATCCAACAACAGGACAAGGGGAAATGGATATAAGCTGGAACATAGGAGGTTCCGCTTAAACATGAGGAAGAACTTCTTCCCAGTAAGGGGAACAGAACACTGGAACAGGCTGCCCAGAGAGGTTGTGGAGTCTCTTTCTCTGGAGATGTTTAAAACCTGCCTGGACGCGTTCTTGTGTGATCTGATCTAAGTGGTCCTGCTCTGGCAGGGAGATTGGACTAGATGATCCTTTGAGGTCCCTTCCAATCCCTGACATTCTGTGATTCTGTGAACCTCTCCTGTGGGCTCTTGGTGGTACAGTGCTGGAAGGCTCATTGTTAAGGATGGGAAGCTGGAAGACTTGACATGAAGGGTATGGCAGAGTTTTTGGCTGATGGATGTTTCTGCTCTTACAAATGGCGATGTGGTGCTGGATCTCTTCTGCTCCCACCTAACAAAAGGTAAAGCATCGATCTGACTGCCTGGGAAATCTTCCAGTTTTCAGATTCGTTAAGAGTTGGAAAAGAAAGATGGCAGAACTATAGCTTGAGGAGCAGTTGCTGTCAAACTACAAATGGAGTGTAGTACTGTATACATACAAAGTTACGCTTGGATTTATTTGTCAACAAGGCCATCCATCAGAACGTGAGTGCACAGGCTTTACCTTGTAAGGATGGTTCAGGTCTGCACAGGCAAACCTGAAAAGTATAAGGTCTTTAAGCTATTCCGTGCTATTCCAGGCAAAATACTAATTGGATTAACAGAATGTAACATTGTGTTCTTTCAGTAGGAATTCTGGGATCTGACCATAATAAATTAAATTTCAATGTTAACTCTTACATTTTGAGTGTCTTCTCTTCCTCTCACTGCTTTTACCTGCTGATTTTAAGCTTCTCTTTCAGAACTACTTTAATTGCTTGGTGAGGTTGGGTCTGAGGGCTTTTTAGTTTTCTATCTTTTTTTTTCTTTTTTTTTTTCTGGATATGTTTTTGCATCTGTTGTCCACACTAAAGAGAGTAGGCTGCTGCATGCAGAGTGCCTGGAATATCCATCGAGTTACCGATTCTCAAGTCCAGTTCAGAATTTTGCAAGTCATGGGCTTGCAGGGCTCTGCACTTCTTATTTCTGTCTCTTCCCTGGTTTCTCTCTGCTTTTCTGACTTGTGACAAGTTCATGGGCATAACAGCTACTTGGAGAAAGCCCTCTAACCTTCTTGGTTTCTCTGTAATGACCTCGATGTATTTACCCATCTTCTTTGTGCTTTAGAGAAAGAGCAAAAGTTAAATCCCTGTAAAAATCTTTTCAGTCTTGTTCAACTTCAGGTTTTTGCAGTTGGAGCAAATGGGGGCGGGCGATAATTGGTAGAGCTGTACAGTTATATAACTAAAAGATTTTCTGCTGGAAGTTAGGAGAGCAGATTGCTTGGCCATCAATATGCGACACGTGTTCTTACTCTGCCCACAGTGTCCATGCAGAGGAGTACAGTCAAGCAGTGTGTATTGTGTTGGTAGATTAATGTGTTCAAATAAAAATGCTGTCCAAAAATTTCCTTTGGGGTACTTTTTTTTTTTTAAGAGAACGAGGAGTGGTGTTATACCACTTGAAGATTTAAATAGTATTTATTTTGCATAATTAATGGCAGATATGAGATAGAAATTGTAATTGCTCATGGCTTTCAACATGAAGGTTGTCATCTAAAAGTCTTCAGGGGGGAATCAACTAGGAAAAAGAGAGTGTACAGTGTAACACAGTGGCGATAAGAGTACTATATGCTATTTCATGGTGAAAATACCCTGTTACTATCACAGAAGAATGCTCAGCTAGCCAGCACTTGTGAATTATGTCACCAAATTCACATAAACAGTCATCATGAAAGCAGTGACTGGGAAATCAGTGGTTTTTTCTGTACCTGAGGGGAGTGGGTTTGGTTGATTTTGGTTTGGGTGAGGATTTTTTTTGTTTTTAGTTTTTGGATGGAAAGGCAACATTATATTGATCCTATTTTTAGTGTATACATCCACAGAAAAGTGATGCAAGTAAAAATACGTGACACTGGAGTGAGGTGAAAGGCAATAACGTATGAACACTATTTGCACTGTGAGTTGGTTGGATTTGGTGTTACAGCTGTTCCATATAGTCCTTTTGTATCTATGTGGAGACGTGACTTCAGCTTCTCCATGGCCTGCGGTAAATGTTCTATCACAGATAAACAAACCTCACAAGACCTCTGTAAAAACTTCCAGATAAAAGCTTAAATGAGAGCACAGCTTGAATACAAAAGCTTGAACCGTTACATCAGAGAGAGCATCTGAAGTTTTCTGAATTTAGTGTTAGCAGTAAATAAGAAGCTGTGCTGCTGTTTCAAGATAAGGTCTATCTTGGACCTTTAGTTTATTCAGTTTCTTCATAATCACCCTTCCAGTTTTCAAATGGGATTTTTTTTTTTTTTTTTGAGTCATTGAGGGGACAACCAGTCTAAATTGACCTCAGTGACAGTCAGGGCTGTTAACATTTCCTTTGTTAAGGATTGTTGCTAGAAAAGGTCTGGACTTGAGGGTAAACCGGAGGGCTCTCCCCCTCCCTTCGGTAGAGGAAACAAAGCAAGACAAAAGGAAGCAGGTTCTGGCACAGCACCTTTAGTTAAGCTTCCATGGGACCTCCAAAAGCATTGCCTGCCTTCCTGCGGATGCTTAAAATCACTTACCACCGAGTTTGCAGTTTCACAAGATAGCTGAGCCGGTCTCTTAACTCGGAGGCACAACGCGAGGCATCGCTGCTCAGCCCTGGCTACACGTCGCTTGTGTTCTGCAAGCAGCCTGATCTGGTGGAGGATGTCCCTGCCTGTGGCAGGGGGGTTGAAACTAGGTGATCTTTAAGGTCCTTTCCAACCCTAACCATTCTGTGATTCTATGATGTTTATTGAGAGCTGTCTTTCTAGACAAGCTGCTTGTTAGCTTGACTTCATTGCGATGAAGTGAAACAAATCATAATTATATGAGGTTAAATAAAATAGTAGAGGTTAAAGCATGAAAAATCAGTGTCCTCTGGTGTAAGACATGCTTTGAGAAAGCAAGCAGGCCACTTTTCTATATAGAAGCCAGAAGTCAGAAATTTGTCAGTTTAACCAGTGGCATGTGCAGGACGGGCACACTTTGCATTTTAGGGAAAGCCTGTTGGTGTTCGTCTGGGTTTAAGACTAGGACAAACAGGAGTGATGTCAAAAGAAAGGTAACCTTGCTTGAACACATTCTCTTCTGCAGGACGACTTTGGATTATCTTACTACTGTTACCAGTATCGTGTGCTCTGCTGGGCACTAGGAGGAACGGGCAGGTGGCTTTGAAAATAATTGTAGGTCACATTTGCTTGATGGCTCTCCTCTAGTTGGTAGCATTTTGCATGCACATGTATGGATGCACGTCATAGAAAAACAACTTCTGCTGAGCAGCTGCCAGCTCTCACTGGTCGTTTAACTAGAGGATGATGCACAAAATTATCATAACATGTTTCTTATGAGACAGTGACTTCAGAATGCGTGTGCCTAAAATGATCTTTGCATGGTGAATCTGAATATTGCTCTTTTTCTCTTCTAGTTTGTGGAGACATCCATGGTCAGTTCTTTGACTTGATGAAACTGTTTGAAGTGGGAGGTTCTCCTGCCAACACACGGTATCTCTTCCTGGGGGACTATGTGGACAGAGGGTACTTCAGCATTGAAGTAAGTTTCTTGTTTCACTTTTTGGCTGTGAAAGTGCTAGCAGCTTATTGTGTATACTTAGCATCGTAATTTAACCAGTTCAGGAATACTGATGCTCTTTGCAGATACCATTTGTAGGCAAAAGAAGTCCACGTTAATGTCACTGACAATGTTTTTGTAAAGGTTGCTTGGTATCCAGCCAAATCCCACTATATCTGTGCTGCAAAGCTGACAGAGAATGGACCTTGGTGCTAACTGGTGGCCATCCAAATATAGCACAGAATGCAGTCTGCTCTGCAGTCTGCAGCTCGTGCAAGCTAAATAGGATTCATAGACATGAGCTATTAGAAGAGACATAACAGAAAAACTAAACGAACAACTCAGAGTTTTGTTTGACTTTTAGGTTTATTTGATCTGAGTCTCCTGCATGCAAAATTTTATGAAAATGGAAGTACTAGATAGGGGATAAGTGGGACAAAAAGCCAGCAGATAACATGCTGTGCTGGAGAAAAGAATGAGTTCTGTTTAGATACGGCATGTTAGGAGTGCATGATCTCTGGCTTTTGATGCAGCACTCGAATCCACGGAGAAGTGATGCACATGTGCCGTGTTGAAGGTGCTGAGACCTGGTGCAGATTCCGGTATCGGGTTGTAGAGCGTAGAAGTCAAATGACAGGATCTTCAGCTGGCTTGCTAAGGAAACGGTGCTCTGGCCAACCTGTCCACCCTTGACTAGAAGCAAGTCGAAAAACAAGCACAGATCCTTTGTTGAAGTGCTCATAAAAACCAAACTGGATTTTTCCTTCTGTTCTGTGTTGTTGCTTGGTTACACAAACTGGCAGATGAGGTGCGCAGTTATCAAATAAAACCTAATCTGGATTTGTTCATCCAGGTCATAGTTGATCTAGTCACTGAACGGTCAGTCAAAAACCCTTGCAGCAGCTTTTCAGCTACAGCTTGACTCTTTTCTCTGAAAAGTTCAGACCTTTAACTCCCCCTGAGTCAAGGGAGAATACCCATTCTCTGTTGGAAGCAGTATGGATGCTATGATACATGGCTGTGTGACTGGATAAGATGGCAGCGTGCGAGAATACATATACTGCTGTTTCTTTCTGCATACCACATCTTAGTATGCTGTTGCCATATTGATATAAAAAGATGCAATCCCAAACAGCTGAGTTATTTATAATGTGTTTTTAAAATGGAGCATCTTGCCAGTTTTCTATTTATAGTATGAAGAGAAGTTTCTTCAAAATAAAATTCTGTAAAACTAGTTTTGCTTTATTAGGTCACTTTAAAACTTAATTTAAAATGTTAACAGAATCTTTGGGAGGTGGCACATTTTACAGATAGAAACATGCTGTTCCAAGTGCAAAGGCTCTAAAAACTTAAGAATTGCAAGGTTCTTTCGCCCACCTGCCAAAAATCATTATAGTTAGGATTTAGTCTCATACTGAAGTCAGCACTTGGATGGTGATTTTTTCTGAGCCATGTGCACCTGCTTCCTCCCTTCTCTGATCAATAGTGAGCTGTGAGCTAAGTCATCACTGTGGGGATTACCATGCTGGGTCACTTGGGGAAGGTTGAGAGTGTAGAGGGCAGCTTCACAGGCTTAAACTGTTGTGAAGCTCAGTCTTGAACTGCCATTTTCCAGTTGCAATAGATAATCTAGTTCCTGTCTCCTGTAGACTTTGACCAAGCCAAGTTGTATCTGCAAGAGCAGAGTTTTGCCTTCATTTCTGTATGTGTTTTTAATATAAGAAATAGAACAAGTGGATTTGCTTCAGCTTCCAAGGGCTTGTCTGACAGTTTGCCAAGGGCTATTACCGATTAAAGACAATTGCAAGCCATAGAACACAAAGCAAAATAGCTTATGGGTGGGGAATAAGCCCCTTAAAATCACTCGTTTAGCAACCTGCATGTACCTACTTAGCAAATTATATTCTGAATTTAGTTTTTCCATTCTGGAACACTACTTTTTCACTGAAAGCAGTACTGGCTTCTGCAAGGAAATAGCTGAGCTGACGCATATATTATTCCTGTTTGTATGCAAGGTTCTCAAATGACTACTTTTTTGGTCACATAACTGATTCTCCCCACCTGTCACCTTGATTACAAAATGCCTTTGAAAGGAAAGGCTGGTTTCTGTTTCGTAAGTGTATTTGGATGTAGAGCTATGCATTCAGGCATGAACGCAGCACAGTAAGTAGTGACAAGGAAGGGAAAATGGTGAAGAATGCAACTTGGCATGTTTGGGGGGGGGATGTATTTGGTGGAGAAGGGGCCCTGAGCATGTCTAGCAGTCACCAGCTCTTGCCAGTACTTTGTGCTGGAGAATTCATGGTGGTAAACAGTCCTAGGCTGATCTCATTGCATATTTCTACCATGTCAGTCACACTATGATCTTTATTCCATTGATCTGTTGGCTCCCCTTTCTTCTATGTAGACACGAGACTGTTGCAGTTCTGGGGTCTTTCTAAAAGAGTTAAGTAGCTGATCCAAGGTACTAATCATGAGAAGTATAAGCTTTTAAAAAAATCCCTTCGATTACAGTGTGATACCTAGCGTAAAAGTGACACCATTGAGCCTAGACCTCGCTGAGTTCTGGCAGTGGGCGAGATAATCCTTGTCTGTGGGCTGCAAAGCATTTGGGATTCTTCTGGATGAAAGGTACTATATAATGTAAGCTATTATCATTAAGAACAGAGGAAGAAATTGCATAAGGTAGGTGGAAGGCATTTGATAATGCAGAGGGAAAAAGAAAAAAGTATTTGTATAAGGCACTCAGCAGAAGTGGCAGTCCTTGCCCCACAGAGCCTTTGATCTAGGGGCTCAATCCTTCACGTGTGCTGTTTTTACCAGAGTTAGCTCCACTGTTTGAAGGGGGGGTGTTTTGTGTCTTTAAAATTAGTTGTAAGCAAAGTGCCACTGCATGAGACACTAATAAAAGAATTACAAGAGGTAAAACGAAAAATGTCAAAACTTTAGATAAGATGAGACAAGGTTTCTTGATACAGACCAAATCTTTATCCTGTAGCTGCACCCTCTTCCATTTAATCTTCTGGCAGAGCCTGAGCATTTCTTCATTTAGAATGACAACTTTCTCCAAGTTGCAATATCTGATATGACACACTTTTTTCCTCGGCTCTGTAACTGACAACGTTTCCCTGTTTTGCTTGTGCACCGTTCCAGGGTTTTGACTCCAGAGTAGAAACCCTTCAGTTCTCACTTTCAAACGAGTTTTATGGTCATGGAGAAAAGAAACCCAAATGATCAAAACAGAGGGCTATTTTTAAATCTGAAGAATAGTTAGAGCATAAGTGGTTCTGCAGGAATGGGCTGTAAGGAAGAATGACTAATCTGTACCTGAGTCTGAAAACTCTCTTTTGAAAGACAGGCGTGGATGCCATGCTGTATAAGGGGGAGAATACATATAGACTGCTTTGCATCAGTCTTGGAAAAATTACAATCAGAGTAAATATCGACTATAGTGCAGTAATAATATTATGTAAATGAGCTGTTGGAATTATTTTCCTGCGCCGTCCCACGTAAAAACATACAGGCTTAAATGTCAGTTCAATATCATAAGGTACATACTGATCATTTTTGACAGAACAGATAGTTAATATATGGAGAATTAAACCAACATTCAAAATGAACAAGACCAGGATTGTGTTTTAAGGTTCAAAACATTCGTATATCTTCATTTCCCGAATGCAAAGGCCAAAATTCTGGAAGTAGAAACTACTTTTGGGGTATTTCTGACAAGAACAAAGTGAGGTGTTTGGAGCGAGTCTGGAATCTGACCATTGGACCTTGCATCAATTAGAAAAAGCATCTGGCGCTTGAGGTGTTTCTGAACTCAGTGAACTGTTCAAAATTATTAACTGATCCCTCTGAAGAAAAGAATAACATACAAATAAATCTGTGTGAGTAAACTGTGGGTGACGTGGATGCTGGTGAAGCTGTGTTTGTCATCTCTCAAGTCACCGTGCACTTTCTAGGACTTTATTGGAAGAATAAACACCTTTCAGTTTCCTCCATTTCTCTAGTGTGCTAATGTTTCCCTATAAACAGCTTGATTTAAAATAGTTTTGGTGGTCAGGAATAGTTTACTGCTGAAGTGAATTGTTTTTTTCACATCTCTCAGAGCAAAGAAAATTCTAATGCCTTCATTATCCTACATTTCCTTACCCTTTTCTTCCATGTAACAGTAGCAAATATGTTTCTCTGCAGCAAGAATTTGCATCTTGTAAGATCTCATTTTTGCTGGGCAGTGTTCCTCAGAGCCATGAATATTTAATAATTCAGCAAATTCATAGAATCATAGAATATTATTTTCGTACATATTAGATTCCTAGACTAGAACATCTGTTTGTGTCAGAGCCATCCTTGCAGCTTGCCTGGTCCTGTGCCAGCTCTTCCCAGAGCGAGTCCCTAACATGCGAAGAAGCCCCTTTGGCTTCAGGGAGAGAACGTGGGATGGTGTCCTGGAGGTCGCTCACGTTTGCCGTGCACTGCTTCCATCTCTCTGTGGGACCCATCTCCAGAGAAAACAGCTGGGGCTGAGGCACGAGGTCCAACAAGGAGAGCTAGGAGCCAGCCCTTGGGTACCTATTTAGAAAGTACTAGATATAAAATTAGAGGAACATTTAAGAAAAAGAATTTTCTAATCACTTTTTGGTTGAAAAAGAGGTACTTCCTTTTTGGACATTTTGAGGTCCTTCCAAGGGCTGAAATGGGGGTACTGTGGTCTAAACACTAGAAGAAAGTATAAGGCAAATAGCAAGAATTTGCATGTGATCGCTTTTAATAAAATCATCTGGGACACTAGCTAGAAGAGAGTTTTGAAATAACTGGAGTGTAGAGGTGCTAAAGTATGATGCAGATGTCAAAACAAGATCCCAAAGCAGCTTGGGAATATTCAACAGATGTTGAAAAAAAATAAACAGAAGCTGAATGATCAGAATGAGATTTTTGAACAGCATTTTAGAAACAGCTGAGAGGGACCCTGACTGCGAGGAATGGGTTCAGTGTTACTCCATGAAAAGTCTATTTCCACAGTAGTAGCCTTTTTAATTTTTAAATATGCAACCCATGTGTTCATGAGCACTGGTTTTAGAAACACAAAAAACAGGTGAAATAAGAGCACGTTGGCAAAAAAATTGTGACGAAAACTCTAAGTTGTCCCTGAAGATCTGGTTGATGCAAGTAGCACTACACTGTTATCCCTGTTCTGCAGCAGAGCCTTAAGAGAAGACGTTATCTTTTATGTCCTGGAAGTTGGGGGAAAAAAAGAATGAAATCCTGGTTGTAGTGAAGACAATACAATTTTTTCTTTATTTTTAGTAGTGTTCAGAGTTTTCTTTCCCTGTACTCAAGGGATGGTAGTGCCAGAAATGGCAATAATTTACATCTCTTGTGAGTATTTTCATTACAGATGCAACGTATCTTTATTTGTCTGAAATAAAGCCTCCATAAATAGTCATACCAGTGGTGTGAACGCAGTTGCGTATGTAGAGGTGCGTGGTTTCCATTGGGATAGTTGAGCCATTTTAGAAAGCTGTTCCTGTACTAGGTACTGTGATGGTATAATTATTTCAATGCAGTTAAAGTAACGCAATTTTTGTGTTTGGGCAGGATGTGTGTGAGTTACAGAGTGAAAGAGCTGTGCCAATATACCATTCTACAGTTCACAGGGCATCAGGAGAGACCTTAGCAACGCGTGGCTCAGATTATCCTTTCGAGAAGTGTTCAAGGCCAGGTTGGATGAGGCTTTGGGCAACCTGGTGTAGTGGAGGGTTTCCCTGCCCATGGCAGGGGGGTTGGAATTCGATGATCTTTAAGGTCCCTTCCAACCCAAACCATTCTATGATTCTATGAGTATGAATTCCCTTGCATTTATTCATAATTGATTTCATCCGCTGGGGCAGTGCCCAATGCCATCAGTCATTTGGAGGGAGAGTCCATCTTTTGTTGCCCGTGCGAAGCCACGCAGCTAACGGAGCGAGCTGCAGCTCTCGGCCCTGGCACCATCAGTGCCAGAGCACCCAGAAGCGAGCGCGCCCCGATCCAGGTTCTTGCTCTGGTTGTGATCTAGTGGCAACTGTAAGGATTTTCCAGGGTTCCTTGCTCTGAGCACGTAACCTGAGATGAGGGCAAGAGGTCTGGGGCTTTTGGTTTTCCTTTTCAGGAGGAGCCCAGATGCCGAATTGTGCGAAGGCTGAAATTCAACGTGCAACAGTGGAGTTAAATCCCACGTCCGTTTTGAAAATATAGCGCTTAATTGCACAGACTTTTTCTTTCCTGATGCTGAGGCTGCCAGAGCCTCCGCAGGAAAACAGCTTGACTAGAGGAGCTGGGAGGAGGGCAGGGTACCTCTGTGTCATAAACTTAACATATCTGCTAATTCATAGAATCATAGAATGGTTAGGGCTGGAAGGGACCTTCAAAGGTCATCTAGTCCAACCCCCGTGCAAGGAACAGGGATATCTCCAACTAGATCAGGTTGCTCAGGGCCTCGTCCAACCTGGCCTTGAACGTCTCCAGGGATGGAGCATCCACCACCTCTCTGGGCAACCTGTTCCAGTGTTCTACAACCCTCATGGTAAAATAATTCAACAGCTGAAAGACACTAAGCGAGCAAGCAGGGGTGCAGTTTGAGGGCTGGCATTTAAGAGATGATAACTTCTTTTTTTTGATGGTCTGAAATGAGACAGGCCGAAAATACTTTAGAGATGTCCAGATTGCAAGGTCACTGCTCTACATTTTACAGAGAGTTACAGCAGAGCTGGTGTGTAGGATATTCTTGATGAAAAAGCTGGAGGGGAAAAAAAAAAAAGAGATTTTAAAATTTTGCTACTAGGAAGTAGTATTACCAAATAATTGAAGATTGTAAGATCAGATTTTCAACAAGGGCAAATTATCATAAAACTTTTGACTTCAGTAAGAATTACAATATGCAAAGCAGAGTTTAAAAAAAAAAAAAAACAACAACCAAAAACCTAACAAAACACACAGCAAACAAAGAACCAGACCATAATGCTTTCTCATGATGTGTTGTTTGGACATAAGTATTTTGTATGTAAATGACTGTGTGAGTTGCAAAGCCATGGAAAATTGTCACCCTCATATTTGCTATTTAGATCTCATGGGAAAAAAATATATCCGTGAATCAGTTCTTGTTTGTTGTTACAATATTGTATCCCTGGACTACTGAACAGAAAAGGGAGAAAATTAAAGGAATTATCTAATAAAAATCAGCCTTTGATATGGTACCACTGAAGACAACACAAAGTGTGAATGGTGGGCTTACATTACTTGGATAGTGTCAGGGAAACACGGAACTTTCTGGACTGCATTGGTTCTCTGTCTTCTCTGGTGATTCTCATCAGTGCTTCAAATGAAGCACAGAAAAAAAAGAAAAAATACGTCTGTGATAAGCAAATATAAAGAGATCTACCCATAAGCAAATACCAAATGCCAAAGAGATAAAACTTCCAGCTTGTCTTATTTTCCCTGCTTCCGAAATCTGGATATGTTAAGTACTTACTGCTCGTTTCAATCTTGCCAAGGCTTTATGAAAATGAAAAAATTAATTAATTATAAGGAAAATGTAAAGCACTTTTTTCTTTTTTTTTTTTTTTTTAATAAAGCACTTCATCTAAGCACTAATCATTGTGATTTTCTAAATTATAAGGTACTTTGGCAGGATTAGAAGCTCTATGGTAGCTTGGATACAACTTTAAAAGCTGGAACTTTTCTTGCATGGATGGAGGTGTCGCTTCAAACTTCTTGTCTCACAATGTTTGCATCAAATTTTTGCATCAGCCAGTAAGTTCAAAGAAGTAGAAGGTTCTGGGAATTCTTGGAGGCATGATGAAGTCATCATCATCATCAAAGAGACGGAGAATTGTGCTAGTGATGTGGAGAAATGCAGACGTCCTTCCCCATTGAAGTGAAGTCCTCAAACCCAAGACTTCTCTCTCTGTGCAAACTCCAGCAAACCTTCCCCAAGCACACCCTTTGTGCCTGTTTTGGACCACAGCAGATAATTTCTGTGACCTAACACCATAATTTCATGCTGGATTCTCTCAGCATGATCTGTCTGGTGTTCTGGCATCTCTTCTCACTTCCTTCAGGGGCAGTAGTGCTGGGGAGGCGGAAGGGATTGTGTGGGCCAGGAGGCCTTCCATGTGTTTCCAAGGGAGAAAATTAATTTTGCAAGTCCTGGAGAATGCTGTCTGTACTTTCTGCTCTTTTACCTGACTCTAGACCCTCTGAGTAGAAGAAAAGCAGTTATGGAGTGCAGGCAGAGCATCCAGATGTTTACCTGTAATAAGTTCAAGACAAAAAGTAGTAGTGTAAAACCTCTGCTGCTATCTAATTATGTATGGATAGTGTGAGCCTTAGCATAAATAAAAAATGTTGCAACTTTTTTTTTTTTTAAGACAAGAACTGTGTAGCAAACGAGGGAGCAGGAATCAAAATGTTGAGATGTCGTTAACATAATTCTTCTGTTTATCAAGACATTCTGAATTGCAGAAGGGAATTCATATTGTAAAAATTTAGAGGCGTTACATTGACAAAAATGCTGATTTTGCTCTAAGTAGAAATTGTGGTCAGAAGTACATTCTGCATTTCCAATCTGTTGCTTATTAGAGTAAATAATTTTTGTCAACAGAACGAAGGGGAGTGTTAGGAGGTAGTTGCAAATGAAAGTGGGAGTTTTTTGACACCTTTTGTTCCTCGTGCAACAATTCTGCAGTTGATGGATATTTAAGAAAGAAAGATTTGGAGGAGATATTGTTGAGACAGTTTTCTAGCTCCTATGTTTTGGGAGGCCATTGTGGTCTGAACAGGGTTCTTGCAAACAGTGGGCTCATCTTGTGGGATGAATGGGTCTTATTTCCATCAGCTTCCTTGGACCTGTGAGTTTGTCAGCCAGGTAACCGAGCAGGGTCATCCTGCACGAAGGATAAATCTGTGAAGTTTGCAAGTTTACTCATTTGTCAAGAGTCTTGTAAGGCTTTGGCATCGTGGCCGTGTCAGTCTTATTTTCAAAACTATTCTAATCAGATGGTTTTGAGAGGTCTGCGCAGAGATTAACCTCTCCAAGTGGTTTTTTCTTTATCTTTAAAAACATGTTTTGAAGAAATGTCATCTCAAATAGAAATCTGCTGGGAAGATAAAAGGAAGCTTTGTAGTAACTTCATTTAATGCAAGAACTTTGTGCAATTCTTTTTCGGTTGTTTGTACAGAACAACATTAAGCGAAAAATGAACAAGCGTTTGTGTGAAACCCATGTAATACTGGAAGCTGCGGTATTTCCTGAAGAAGTGGGGGATAAATTGTTCTGGGGCAACTTTTCCTTAAGCCAGGAAACGTGGATGTTCCGGTGAAATTGTTTCCACGGCGGGTTTGTGCCAAACCTGCCAGGTGGAGAGCACGTGCTTCGTTTTAGAGATGCACAGCAATCACCTCTTGATAGCCGGGGCCGTGGACGGCGATGCATGGCTCAACAGGGAGGTACCACCTAGCAAGAGGGTAAAACCTGATCAGAATATCCTGATACTCGTTTCAGCCAGTCCGGGTTGAAGTGCAGAGAACCGTTTGCGTGTGATGCACGAAGAGTGAAGTTAACCCGTTGACAAATACATGTTTCACACAGAATACTTTTTCTTCTGCTGGCGTTTTCGGTGGAGGGGAACATAAGTGGTTGAATTACATCACTAATTGTGAATCGTATTTTTCTTTCTTGTTTCTGATTCACAGTGTGTGCTGTACTTGTGGGCCTTGAAAATCCTTTACCCCAAAACACTGTTCTTACTTCGTGGGAATCATGAATGTAGACATTTAACAGAGTATTTCACGTTTAAGCAAGAATGTAAGTCAACCTTTCTCAAACTCTTATCTCCATTTTCAACAACTCGATTTGTTATTTTGTGTTTGATACTGGTTTGCCATCGGTAATTTCAGATGTACTTCTCGTGTTAGCGATCCTTAATTTTGAACTGTGATCGCTGTTCCCTGAGAGGGCAGTCGTCTTGCTGGGGCTGGCGATGGTGTCTCGATGGTGGAGAAAGGAGAGGGTTAGACCCACCGCAGCGGTGGTGACTGCCCACCCGTACAAACCCAGGTGTCATCACTGGGTGCTGCAGGTATCGAGCCACTTCAGCTTGCCAGCCTGGCCTGGGAAGCAGCCCAGGGCTACTGTGGGGCTGTCTGGGCTGGTATGCTTTTTTAAAAAAAATTCCTTTTTGCGTTCAAGAAAGGATACAGTGACACATAAAAGCTCATTAGATGTAGACCTTCACCTGCACAATGACATTTTTTTTTTTCCTCCCTTCAAAGTGCCACTGTAAGCTGAAGCTATTGCCATAAGTCTGTGTTCCCTTTTAGCATCGGGGATAAAGGAAATGTTAATTGGCTCAGAGGCTTCATGGTTTACTGAGCTTCATATACATATTGGTAAATTAACATTTCAGCTGCATTGTACCACCTCGTTCATTTCATAATGGCATTTCTGTAGATAATTAATTATAAGGGACGAGGCTAAAGTTCTGATTGCTTCATGGAGGGTATATTGAGTGATGCTGTAGTAGATGATAACCATCCAGCAGACTTCTTAAGGCTTGCTGTGTAGATTTCATGGCAGACTATAATGGTATGTTAAATTGTTTAGTTACAGGTTTTTTAGAAAAATATAATAAATTTGGCAGAACTTTTATTAGTTTCACCTCTGAATCTGAATAATTTTCCAGCAGTAAATAACAATAATCCTAAAGCATTTTTTGCATGAGGCAAGCTCAGGGCAAGAGAGAGCAGTGAGAGCAAGATTGAGACGTTAAGCAGCATCCTAATTTCTTTTTTCCTCTTAAATATCGATGGCACTTTCTGATACCATCTTAATGTTTAAAAGGTAAAATCAAATATTCAGAACGCGTATATGATGCCTGCATGGATGCCTTCGACTGCCTTCCCTTGGCTGCTCTGATGAACCAACAATTCCTGTGTGTACACGGTGGCTTGTCTCCGGAGATCAACACCTTAGATGACATCAGAAAAGTAAGTCTGAAGAGTGCTCAGGTCTAATAAATGACCAGTTAATCGCCAGCAACTAAAACTTGAATCCTTTCTCACTGTTGTTCATTTGTGTAAGATGCTTGTATGTCATTTTGACATTCATGTTGACGTTATCACCTTTTAAAGGTCTTTTTAAATAGAACATAAAAAGAATTGCTGCAATTAGTTGTGTTTTATTGAGGTCAGGAAATCACCAGCATCCAGTAAAACAAAAGATTTATCATCTTTGTGTTCTAAAAAAAAAAAAAAAAAGAAATGTGTTAGGTATTTAAGTATTCAGGAGAAAATGAATACAAAGCATTAAATTCTTCTAAGTTGTATCTGCTAGCAGAATGTAAGCACACCACCTGATGATTCCTTGTGCCTTGTTAGGCATTCTGTGCTTTCTTGGAGAAGAGGTAAAAATAGCTCTAGGAAAACCTCACAATACTTTAAAAATATAATTAAAAGGTGTGGTATAATTGCAATGAATATAGCCAAAACAATATTATTTTAAAAAGAGTTAAGAACTTCCTTGTCAATAGGTCCTGCTTAGTAAGTTGGTGCTTGTGTGGTACTCTTGTGTTCTGAGAAGTTTCTTTTAAGTCTCATGGAAGCTCAGAGAACAGTGTCAAGCAGTTTCTTCTCATAATCCAGTGTTGTGGCACGATATCAAGGATTAATTTTTTCAGGTGTTTTGTAAAAGAGATATTGGTTTTTCTAAAAAGAAGTATTTAAACTATTTGTTCTTAGTGTTTCCAGCAGAAAATATTTTCTTATTTCTCGCTTGCAGTTTTGAGGCTTGCAAACATGCATTTATACTTCTGAGCTTTAAAGTTGCTAAAAGATAAATTACATTCTGAGATTAATTTGTCGCCTACTAAGAAATTAATATGGTTTAAAAAAAAACAAACTTGAGCCAGTAATGACATGTTTTAGTTTAAAAGCAATTAGATTAAGATATTAACTGCACTTTTAAAAATTACTGAATGTAAGGGTTTTTTTCTGAGGTAAAGGTTCACTATCTCATTAAGCAAAAGTATTCTCTGCCTAACAATTAGCTGGGTCTGCAACAATGTAATGGCAGAGCGAAGCTGTTTAGGTCTCAGTTTCTAGATTAGGGTCATTAACATCTTCACTTCCTCCCACCCCACTACTCTACCCCACTAGCAAGTTTATTCATCTTTGGAAATCAGCAGGATTTTTTTTTTGCATATTTATGAATTGTTATTTAATTTAAATGAATTATAGTTACCAAACCATTAATTGGTAGAGGGCTGAAATAAGTTAGAAGCCTAAGTGTGCTATGAATATTTGATGACGAGGATGCAAAGGTAAAATTGTAGAGATCTCTTATTAAAACTTTTAACTGACGGTTGAAAACATATACAACCAATTCTTTCTGTTTGAAATTTTTTTTTTTGGGGGGGGAAAGGTATGTTATGTATGCTACTAAAACATTACTTGATCTTTCTGGTCAGAGCAGAGAATGTTTTGGACTGCAAGCCTGATTCATACACTCATCTTAACAACAAGTGTTTCTATATTAAAGAGTTCTTGCAGAGGAATATTGATTTTTAATATTTCCCTATTTTGCTATACTTTGTCTTATTTGCAGTATGATTGTATGTAATTTGTGTTTTTTAATATCGATAGGCAGAAAGAAGAGGTTTTAACTGCTTAATTATGGTTAAGGTTATGAGAGCAACAAGAATGTCATGGCAAGATGCTATAATGCAGAGATGTTGCCTTGGTATTTAAATACTTTTTGTGAAAATATATTTAAATCAAAACAGGAACTTGCTTTGAAATAACTATTGTATTTTTTCTTGAGGTGCCTCACTCACATAAATCGAGTGCTACGATGTTTGAAAAATCACAAAATACAGAAATACCATCTTCTCTCTTGTCCACTGAAATGCTTACAAAAAACAGTAGAAAAAGGAAAAACAAAAAATGCACACAAAATCACGTAGAATGGGAACTCACTGTATCTCTTAATTTTCAGTTATATTTCCTCCTCCTTCTCCTTGTCAGTGTTAGCAAGGAGTGTTTTATTGTTACTCAAAAATCCGTTGCTTTGAAGCTGAGAGCAACCCAAAGCTGAAAAATAGATTGCCTTGGGTCTTTGTCTGCCAACCCATGGAGTGAAAAACAGTGGCTTTGCTTCAGTGTGTCTGTGATACATGGTCGAAAGAAGTTAGTATTTCTCTGTCTCCTATTTTTCTTAGTTAGATCGATTCAAGGAACCACCTGCATACGGACCTATGTGTGACATCCTGTGGTCGGACCCGTTGGAGGACTTTGGAAACGAGAAGACTCAGGAACACTTTACTCACAACACAGTCAGGGGCTGCTCGTACTTCTACAGGTGAATGTTGCTGCTTTGAACGGCTTTCTGCGCGTGAGCTTGTTCTGGTTTTGCAGTATAAATGTTTGCTTGAAGTTCGTGGCACCACTTAGATAACTGGACCTTTATTTCTGCGGGCTTGCCTTGTTTTCAGGTAAATTCATGTTTGGTTTATTTCTATCTTGCTTTCGCCCACAACTGGGAAATCCTAAAATAACTTAATTTTATTCACCAAAGCCTATGTATTTTGCTTCTTTCTGTTCTTGTAATTTAGGGAATTAATGTCTCACTTTTTAAAAGGGATAGGTAACTACATTTCTAGGTTTAAAATTGTAACTTAATTTTGAATGAAAGATGCTGGCATTGGAAAACTCATTACCTGTTACTCTACAGGGTAAGTAAAAATTGTGATTTCCCACACACAGGTACCTTTTCTTTTTCCTCTCAGTTTTATCAAACTTTTGTTTATGTTTGGGAATAAGTTCTTCCCAAGAAATTCAGGATTTGAACAGCAGTGGGTTAAATGGGACTTGCTAAGAGCTGAAATGCAGACAAGTGCCTGTAACGTTCTTGCAGAAACACGTTTGGGCCTAAATGCAAAGACATCAAGTTGTAAATCATCTTTGAGATTGCTTCTTTCTATTGATGTTTGTTAGTAAAATGTAACTGTAAGAATATTCCTGAAAAAAGTAATGGTAGTGAGGGTAGAAGCACACCTAAACCAAATCTGTGGGTTAGTTTGTGACTATTAAAAGGAAACTCTTCTCTGTTTCATTTCTGCTTAGTGGTAATCGCCTTCTAAGCATGGGGGGTTTTGTTCTCTCTCTCTGTAAAGACTCAGGAGACTCTCCTGTACATTAAAGAAGTGGATTTCTCTGAGTGCCAGGGGGTGTCCCACTGTCCCCTCTGGCAACATACAGGGAGAGCAAAGCAAGGAACAAACGGTTCCCTTTTCCCGGTTCTGTCTGACTGCTGCCTTCTCCATTTCCAGTGGTACCTGGCTTGTTTGCAGACCAAGTCTTGTGGACACAGGCAGAAGACACCCCGTTTTGTGTGCTTGAGCTGGTGATGAAGAACCTCTCAAGCACTGCTTCCATTTTTTCATCATAGGATGAGCCTGCATTGCCTCATGAACAGCAGTGGTGATTACATCATACCCTCCTCTGACAGTGTGGGGATTTTGATTATTTGTTTTGTGGTTTTTTGGTGGTTTTTTTTTTTTGCTATGGTAGTAAAGAACGACTCACAAAGACACCAGAGTAACAGAACTGGCAGGGGAGGAGGTTAAATGGCAAAACGAGCAACGTATCCGGTGAAATCTTAATTAAAAAATTAATTTTTGTTTGGGAGAAATGTGAAGAAATTGAAATTATGCTAAGAGGTTGTTGAAGCTTTTCAAAGGAGCGGTTTTGCTTCAGCCTGTGCTAGCAACAAGCGAGTCTTTCCCACCAAGCTCAGCAGAAGTGAGGAATGCAGCTCATTTAGTTATCTTAGAAAATCTCACCTGGAACGTAGCTGACCCATAGCTGTTGAGTAACATGTCAAAAGTAAACCCACAGCTTCCACCAGTACCCAGGAGACAGAGCAGCTAGAATCAACCTCCTTGTTGGTAAGAGATGGTTTGACTTCTAGAAATCAGTTTTCCTAATCCTCCTTCGAGCCGTAATTGCTGCGGCGTGGGGATGGGCAGAGAGCGAAGCGGTTTGCGCTGCAGCCCGGGGGCAAGGCGCTCCGCCGCCTTCGGATCGATAACGTCTGGAAGGGGCTCGATAAAGGTGTTTGGTCTCGTTATGAAAGGAGGTGTCAAACTGTTGCAGACAATTGATCTGTGCACAAATGGGCTTATGACTCTGAGGGCTGAAATCATTCCTCTTCCTCCCGGCAGCCTGGAATGCCGGAGCGTGCCTGGGACTCCCCGGCACTGCTCGGTGCAAACAGTGAGTAATAGCGGTTACAAAAGTGAAAAGCCTTGCAAACGTGCCTTGTGCTTAGATACAAGGCTTCTTATATACTGGAGCAACTTTCAGGTTTTAGAATTTTTTTTTTTCCCAGAGCTCTGTTTCTTACAATTAGCATAAAATTTCCCTAAAATATACATCCATTTCCTCCTGAGAGTATATCAAAGCTAGTCTGTGTCCTGACTCATGTTCAGAAAAGCGCGTGTTTCCGGAAGAGAGGAAATATTTGGAGGATAGCTAATTGTCAGGTCACGTGTGAGGGATGTGTAACTGCTTAATGACACAAGCAGACGACTAGCTTGGAGTCACGTTATCTGAGGTTATCTAAAGGCAAGTGTTACTCTTAAAAGAAGAGCCTAGTTGCTCTGGAAGGTCATTCATTGCTTACCTATTGATAATACCTTGGAAAAAATTATCCATTGCTGCGCAACGTCTAATTTTGCTTGCCTTTTCTCGTTACTTAGAATGGTTTGGGTTAGAAGGGACCTCAAAGATCATCTAGTTCCAACCCCCCTGCCATGGGCAGGGACACCCTCCACTACACCAGGTTGCCCAAGGCCTCATCCAGCCTGGCCTTGAACACTGCCAGGGATGGGGCATCCACAGCTGGCAGTTCCTCCCAACTTCCCCAACTTCCCAACTTCTTCCCAACTTCCTGAGAAAAGGGGCAAATTTCCCTGAGCAGCCAGCTCAGCTTGTAAAGAAAGGACTGAATTATGCAGTCCTTCTTCAAGAGTGTCTGTTGATTGGATGGACTTTGTTTATGCTTCAGTGAGTAAAACTTTTTGGTTTCTTCGTTTTATTCCAGAAAGGAAAGTTAAAAGATAGCAGGGGGCATTTTAAAGGAAGGTCAGGAAGATTTCAGGCACGCACGTGAGCCAGGGAAATTATTTTGAGATGATTAAGATCCCTTAATCAATTGCAGGAAATAACTGTAATAAATAACTTTCATTTTATCAGACGTGTTCATTATAATGGCAAGTTTCAAGTGACTTTTCTCTGATTTGAAATTCCTATAACAAAATGCCATGAGGAAAAGAACAGTAACATGTCTTTTTGTGCACATGCAGCATGTTAACAGGACTTTCCAGCTGAGTAGTGCATGAAATCTTCTCCATTCAGCCAAAACTCGTTTGTGAAATGTGGAGCCTTTGGTATGAGCTAAATGCACCTGAGATACATGGAGACTGTGGCTTACAGTAGTCTGACAAGCTTCTCGCTGCGTTTCTTAGGTG